ATATTTATGCATGATAAGTTTTACATTTGTTAGGATAAGTTTTTTAATTGTTTTAATAATAGTAAAAATGAAAATAAGTAAGATAATAATTTTAAAAAATGTTAAAAATGCTTAAAAAATAATAATAATAATAATAATAGAATAATTATTATTATTTTTCTTGCCTAAATGTTAGAGGAAATAAAAAATATTTTCCTATAGAAATAATTTCGCCTAGATGTTGGAAAATTATTATTAATAAATTTTTATAAAAAGAAATATATAAGAAATTTTTAATTAATTTTCAAAAATCATTAAAATCAAACTTCTTTCGAAAATTCGCCTAGATGTTAAAGATTTTTAGAGATGTTCGTATTTTATTAAAAACGAAACCTTAAACATTAATTCTTAATTTTTCAAAATCCTAAGTTTCTAAAACCCCTAAAATCTAAAATCCTAAAATCTAAAACCCCTAAATCCAAACCCCTAAAATCCAAAATCCTAAAATCTGAAACCCCTAAAATCTAAAACCCCCTAAAATCCGAAATCTCAAATCTTTAAACTCTTAAATCCAAACTCCTAAAATCCAAACCCTTAAATCCAAACCCCAAACCTCAAATTTTAAAACCGAAGCCCTAAAATCTTCAAACTCTAAAATCAAACCCTAAACCTTCCATACCTTAAAACCAAACCCTAAAACCCTCAAAACTTAAATCCAAATCTTCAAAATCTTGAAATCCTAATCTTTAAAACATCTACTTAAGTCCTTACTCAAAACATCTTGAAAATCCTAAGAACAAGTGTGAAAATCCCATTTGAAGCAATTTGTTCCCGAATGCCGTCTAGATGATAAGGTATTTAGAAAATTTTACTTCGTTAAGTCTTTTCACACGATTTCTTAATTCGCATTAATAATAAGATTAATAAATAAAAAGTATAATAGTAAATTATGATTTTAAATATAAACAGTTGCACCTAAGCTCTGCCTAGATATTGGAGAGTCGGGGTGGTCTCATTATACTTAAGAATCCAACTTTTAAATGGCATTTCATTTTACATGACATTCATTAGCATACATACATTAGCATGTAATCATCGATAATTGTCTGCATTATTCTCTCTTTAATTTTTATTTATTATTTGATGATAAAATATTTTATAATAAAAAAAGAATAATACATTTTGGAAAAAAAATTTTTATGATATTATAAAATAAAATAAAAATAATAGTCCGAAGGAAATAATTCTTAGTACTTTGCCTAAATGATGGAGAGTCACTAACAATTATCTTTTATAAAGATTGTTATTTCATTTTAAGGATTATCGTGTTAAATCTTAAGCGAAAAGTGTTATTTTAAAATTCTACCTAGATGTTGGAGAATTTTAAAATAATTTTTTAACTTTAAGATTTTCTCAATATTCCTAAATAAAGAGCTTTAGCAAAATTTTATTTTTCCAAATGAAGGGAACTAATGTTAAATTTCAAATTGAAACCATTTTTATCCAACACCGAAAATAGCGTAATTAAATGGTACCAATTTATGGGCGTTGTGGGGGTGCTAATCCTTCCCCACACGTAACCGACTCTCGGACTCAACCTGATTTTTCGTAGATCAAAATTTATCTTTTTGATAAACTTTAAACATGCTTTTATAATTTTATTAAAAAGATAAATTTTTGGGTGACCAATACACCCTAACAAAAATTGGTGGCGACTCCTCTCATTTATTTTGATTTTAAAACCTTTTACGTCCGACAATCTCAAAACCGTTACGACAAAACTTGATCATCACTCAATAGCACAATTTAAACAAAATATATGTCTCAATTTGGCATTGTTCAATCTATTCACAAGCATATTTCATTAGTGATCGAAGATGATCAACTCAAATAAAGATGCCTTAACAAGTGAGGAATTATTAATTCTCACCAAATCTCCATTAAAAGCTTGTTTAGCCACTCATAGTGCTCCACTGGTGTTATTGGCTGTATAAAAAGGCCAAGTGATTGAACACCATTAACCTAATAGGTCAGGTCGTCATTGCGATTCACGGTCTCGTCATTGAGATTCACGGTCTCACCATTAAATTGCTTGAAGCTGTGATCGACATGTTGCTCTTGTTTATTCTTCAATTTGAAATTTTTTCCTAGGTTCGTTTTTGGGATTTTATTTTCTCGTTGATTTGTTTTAGGAAATTAATTTTCTTTTTAATTTATTAACCTATAGGGTTATTGCTTAGTGCTTAATTCACTAATTGGGATGGCGTTTTATCTTGGAACTTCCAAATTGGGGTTTGTCTTGCTTCATTGTCATCTTGGTGATGGTGAGAGAAATATATTAGTTGATTATTAATTATTAATTATCTTTTATTTTTTATTTTTTTATTTTTTACTCAAAACTTTTTTAATTAAAAATTTTGAGAATTTAATTAATTTTAAATTTTTATTTAATTACTATTAAATTAAAATTTATTTAAGTTATATTTTAATTCAAGTACATATTAAATATTTTAAAATTATCTTTGCTTCAATTATATATTAACTTTGAAATGAATATACTGAATTATTTTTATTTAAAATAAATTAATTATCAACATTTAAAAAATAATTAATGATATATAAATTAATTAAAACAGAAAATGAAGAAATAGAAAGAAAAAAGACAAATAAAGAAAAATAAAACTACGCCCACGAGGTTTTATTGAAAATAAACTTGTTTCTATTTTTTTCCCCAAGAATATGATTGGTTCTATTAATTTTAAAAAATACATTTTATCTCTTTTGAAAAGATAACTAATGTTAAGATTCCATTAGTCAAACTAATATCTGTTCTATTTTTTTAATATTAAAAGTACCTTCATTTTTTCTCCTTTTCTTATCTCTTTTTTTATAATCAATTACTTTATCATTAAATTTTTTTTAAGAAAAAATAATGGTGATTAATTTGTTTTAAATAAGGATAATTTAATGCATTCATTTCAAAATCATATATAATATTATATTACAACATGCATAAAAATCTTATAAGATTTGCTTATGTAAATGTTTACGTGAACAACTTTTATTATTGACACGTAAGATATTTCTTAATAACTTTATTCAATCAATTATTTAATTTTTAAACATTTTAAATTTTTAAAATTTACATTTATCAAAGTCTTTCAAAATATATAAAATTTATCTTAATTTAAATATAATAAAATATATCTTCTCATATTTTACTCTTACCCAATTCAAATAATTTTTAAATGTTAAATCCTTAAATTTTAGGAATAAAAAATTATACACCATCTAAATTAATATTTATATAAATTTAAATAAAAAAAATTGTGGTTGAACCACTCTTATTTACTAATTTTTTGTCTTTATTTTTTTTATAATTTAAAATAAAAAATATTTTATCTCAATTTAAAATTACATACGTATCTAAATTTAAAATTATACTAACTTTTTTATCTTAATTTAAAATTAAACTTGGATAAACTAAATTTTTAAAAATTTAAAATTTTTTTAAATTAAATAATTATCAAATATATATTTATGATTTTTTTTCACAATCAATATTTTTTTCTTTTCGTCATAAAAGTTTGACAAAATAAAGTTTTAAAATTAAATATGAAAAAGTTTTTCATGATATATCATATGTGTAAATCTTAATTTATACTAAAATAATATATACTTTTAAAATTTTATGTAATTGTGAATAAGGGATTAATTTTCTCATTGATATTTGTATATAACTTTACTTTCATAATTTAAAGCTTTCATAATACTTATTTAGATTCTCTCATAATAATTTATATATATACAAATTTTTTTAATTTTAAACTACAAATTATGGATGATTATGATTATTTTTATTTATCTATATATAATATAAAAATTGATATAAATTAAAATTTTAAATTATAAAAAATATAATAAAAAACTCCGTGCTTGGCACGGGTAAAAAAAAACTAGTTAATATATATGATAACTGAATTAAAGATAAGCATAAAATTTTTTACATGTACTTGAACTAGAATAAATTTTAATTAAAATATAATTTGATAATAATTGAAAATAATTTTAAAATTAATTAAATTTTTATAATTTTATAGTAAAAAAATCTTGAATAAAAGAAAAAATACAAAATTAATAATTAACAAAAAGTATATTTGTCTTCTTATTTGAAATTAATTTAATAATTATCTTTGGCTTCTTGATCTAATAATTAAGAAAGTTTTATGAAAATATAAATGTCTTGATTGCTAGTCTAGATCTCTTTTTTTTTTTTTTTCTTTTTTGCCTTATAATAGCCATGCCTTTAAAAAAAAAAAAAACTTAATAATTAAATGCTCATGAGAATAAGATATGTTTTATTAAAACTCAAAAGATGAGAGAGCATTTTTCAAACAGCTAGAAATATGTGTATCTTTACTAAAATATAGTGAAAAATAGAAGCATTTTTCCCTAAATCCATTGAAATTCATAACTAATGACTTCAAGTTAAACCCACACAGAAAATTGATATTATTTATCTAAAAAAAAAATCAGCCACGTTTGTATACTATATAGTCTTCACATAAAAAATGAAGGAGTTGATAGGAGACAAAGTCAAATTAAACATTCAAAAAAAAAAAAAAAAAAAAGAGATTGACCGGAACATTCGATAACATAAAACTTCAAAATGATGTGTCCTTTTTAGAATGTTCCAAGTGTTGAAGAGTGTAACTCTTCCCTGCTTATCGTTTTCCACAACATGCTCCCCAGGTGGCAATATTTGAAAAAGACCGTAATACCCCCTCCATGCCAAATGCAAGTATGCAACCATTTTTTCACACCTCCCTATAAATAACGACATTCCATTCCATTTTTCTTCTAGCAAACTTTCAAAATCGTAAATCAAAAAGGAAAAAAAAAAAAAAAAAAAAAAAACCCAAACCCACAAATTTATTTATAAAAAATAAATGTAAACAAACCCTAAAATCATTTGCTCTTTTTTCTTTTAATTGTTTTGTTCAAAAGAAGAAAAAAAGATTATGAGCCCTACACAATTTAATAATCAACAACACCATGAAAGCACATCCAACGGTAATGGTGGCCTATGCACTCCGCCCTTGAAAGTCAGCAAAGACTCCCATTTGATAAAAAAATCAGTGTCCTCATCGTCATCATCATCGGCGGCCTCCTCCCTTGGAGTCACCGGCACCACAAAGCCGCAACAGCAACGGCACCCTGTCATCATCTACACGCACTCTCCCAAAGTCATCCACACGCACCCTAAGGATTTCATGTCATTGGTGCAAAAACTCACTGGATTTTCACGCAATGAAGATGATCATCATAATCATCACCACGCCCCTCATCAATCCAAGGGGGAGAATGGTACCGCCTCAGCCGAAGAAGACAGCAAGAGGATCAACAATGATGATAATGAATCCTCATTGGTTGTAACAGATGAAAACTGTGAAGGACAAGTGAATTCTTGTTCTGTGCCACCTTTGTTTGAACCACCACCAGCTCCATTTTTGGCAAATATTCCAGTTTTTACGCCGAATTCGGCTGATTTTCTATGCGTGAATCAGCCTTTTTATAATTGCACAGATTCATTGTTTTTTACACCAAATATGAGGAACTCCATTTCATCTTCTTCATCAGGGTTGGAGATGATGAATGAGTTTCGGGATTATTAAAGTTTTGGAGAAAATCATTTGAGTCTTTTGTTCATTAATTATTTCTATTGATTTTTTTTTTTTTGGGTAGTTTTATTAGCTATTTGTTTTTACGACGCAAATAAGGGTTCTGATTTTGTTCATTTAACTTAATATTTGTTCTTTTCTTTCGTGAGAATAAATATTTTACATGCATAGTTTTTTTTTTATTATTATTCTGTTGATTTATTGATTAATTTCTTTTGAAGCAAGAGCTGCTGACCATAGCTTTCTTTTTTATATTGATCTCATTTGGATCGATGAGATTAAGTCTCTATTGCTATAATATTTATCCTCTGGTTTTCTTTTGACTCCATTTCTGATGGAAATTGAAAATTAGACATGGATTTGTTACCAAATCAAAGGAAAAGAGATGTGGCAGTTAGTATTAGCACCTCTCATGCTGAGGATAAGAGACCTTAAAAATATATAAAAATATTTGTCACATTTAACAATCAATCTGATATATTTTCTTTGGAGCATTCAAGCTAATCCACTTGGGTTTTATGATCTTAGATTACTCGAAAGAGTCTCCTTATCTTATAAATTTGAATTTTGAATACGAGACCTTCAAACAACTTTGAAAAATTACATAAATGAAAAATACCGTTCTTCTATCTCATAAATCTCACTCAATTTATCTCGAAATTTGGGCTGCAATTCTAGACGGGACCTTCACTTGTTAAACCAGGGAAGAAATTGTGGCTGCCTGATTTTTCTTTTCCGAAGCCGAGAAAATCCTGTCCAGAGTTTCCATGAACATATGTTTACTTCGTCGATAATGTGAAAATCGCTAGGGGTGGACATCGCGTATCAAGGGTACTGGTGCATGTCACAGATGTAACCAAAGCAGGTGAAATAGTATATTAATTTCCCCCAAGCAGAGGTTTGTTTAATATTACTACAGTATTTCTTTTTAGTTTTTATTATTATATGATAAAAATTATTTTTTTCTATAAAATAGAACTCAATTTCTTAATATATTATACATTAGATTATTAAGAAAATTAAGTTTTTGTATAAATTTATGCAGTGAAATTGTCATACTCTATCAATGACAAACAAGTTATGAAACATTTATTTAAAAAAAAAACAATTTTTAATGAAACATTCGAAATTGATTGATAAATATATCTATATATATAAAATAAAATATTATTTTATAAATATGAAATTTATAAATTTCTATCATTTTAAACTATCAATTACTTTTTATGTTTTAATCATGCTTTTTTCTATCATTTTTTATTGTATGACTATTTTATTTTATCAATCCTATTATTTCAAATTAAAACTTATAAAAGCTTTTTTTGTTAAACATAATATCGTAATTTAAGAATAAAAGAAAATATTACAAATGATAAGATTTAAATTAGAGATGCGTTGAATATTGTTTTGTTAAAAATAATTATATTAATTGAGTTAAATTTTGAATAAAAAATTTATAATAAAAATTTGGGCTTAATAGATTTTGAATAAGGCTAGCTACCAACTGGTTTCCGCCTTATCCACCACGTCTATTTAGCTAGAATGCCTCAGCTCAATAGAGCGGGCCTTGTCAGTGTGTCATGGGTGGGAACTGATAACCTTCTTGGAAAGTGGGGAAGAATCAGAATGGAAGCAAAAAGAAAAGTGCAAAAAAATTGAATAAAAGGGGGAGGAGATTTTGTTATTTTAAAGAGGGATTTCATTTTTAAAGAAATTTTTAAAATTTTAAATAAAATTTTACATTTGGATGAGGGATTTTAGGGAGGGATTTCATTTGTAAATATATTTTCAAAATTCTAAAATAGAATTAATTTTTTTAACAAAATAAAAATTAGAATGGTTAAAATTCTTGAAATTTGAATGAAAAATTTTGGAGAGCTCAAATTTTCCTTTTAAATTTCACCTCTTTAAGTAAAAGGTGAAATTTATGAAATTCCTTGTTATTATGGTAAGAAGTCAATATTTATTATGTTTTCTTTTTTTTCTACACAAATTTTTTTTTTTCAATTTTAACAATAAACACTCAATATAAATTTCTTTTAATTTTTCATATTGCTAGTACTATCTACACATATTTACAAATCTAATGACATCTATATTACATATATTATTTTAGTATTTTGCTTTTTCTATCCCTAATATCATTATTTATCTATTATAATTATTTTTTATCTCATCAAATTCTAATATTTAAATTTTTTTAAAAAATAATTATCCAAACAATAGAATTAAAAATTTTGTTATTTTAAATTGATGCATTTCAAAATATTAACATTTTAAACTTTTAAAAAAATAAAAAATTTTCAGCCAAACATACCATTAAATACAAGAAAATAAATCATTATGTAAAATAATAAGTTTAGTTTGGTTGACCAAAGTTGGCTTTATGGTAAGTCTAAGATGATTGTGAGGGGATGGAAAGTATCTTCAATGCTTTATTTTAAAATTATTGTGTCAACTACATTCAAATATTTTATTCAATAACTAGTTTGCAATTTATTCAATGCACGATTTATTTTATCTATTTAAATATATATGCATATAAGTTAATATTATTTACAAATTATATTAAAGTCTCTATATTTATAACATATATAAAATTTATATATAAAATAATAATTTTTGAAGTAAAATTGTATGTATTTTATTTTATAAAAATAATTTGTCATAACAACTTTTCCTTTCAATGATTCTTAAAAAAAATATCGACATCCCATCACTATTGAGATCTCAATCAAAATCACAAAAAAAAAAAAAAGAGATGTGTATCAAAGTACAAAATAATATTATTAAATGATGAATTACATCATAAAATAAATATTTACGTAACTTCACTTATCAATTGATAATCAAATTGATGAAAAAAATATTAAAACAATTAACAGATGTCTATAAATAAATGATTACTTAAAAAAATAGCTTTTGAAAAAAAGTTGCAAATAGTATTATTATTATTGGATGATAATTAAGATGTATATATTTCAAATTGATAAGTATTTTTCAATTTAAAAAGGTGTTATATATTTTTAAATTTTAAAAAATCAAATACTAAAAGATTATATGAAAATTAATGAAGATAAATATCGTATTTGAGATTTTTGAATTTAGATATCTCTATTGATTTAGTTTGAATTCTTTTAAGTTTCAAATTATTATTATAACTTAATTTTGATTTTAAAAAAGGCTAGCATCATAGTCTCATGTTTTCACGTAATCAACCTGTAATCATTTTTTTTTCCTCTTTCAATTTAATCTGAAAAGTTGATTAATTAAAATAGCATAAATTTAATTATTTTAAAATTTTAAATTTAAATATTTGATTTTTTTTTAATTTTGATTGCATAATAATTTTATATATCATCTTATTTATCAAAAATATAAGTAAGTTATTCACATACACGTCTATATGATATACTTTATTATTTATCCATATATCTTACATCACAATATAATAGTATATATGATTTATACATTTTTTTTTTGCCAATAATAAGTTATACATAGTTAAAGAAATTAATATAATTACTAAATAAATATGTGTCAAGTATGTAAATTAATGGTGAAAATGTGTCATAGGTCATGTACTCTTCGATTCTTAAGAATTTGTTCTTTTTAGTATTATTTAAAAGGATTTAGTCCTTATAGTATTAATTTTTTTAAGATTTTAGTCCAATCGTTAACAATGTTAAATTTTATCCGTTAAATAATTGATATGGTTACTGACATGACATTTTCATTGGTTTTTAACATTATTAATGTTTGAGTGTATTACAAATTCTATTCACATGAACTACCAAAAAGCTATGTCAACATTAACACAAATATTTTTTAAACTTAATATAAAAAAAAAAAAACTCTGAAATATTTGATATTAAGATATTAACACAAATATTTCTTTTTTTTTCTTTTTTCCTATAACAACTAAGTTTTTTTTTTTTATTATTTCATTTCACCTATCTTATAAAAAAATTCAACTTACTCTCCAAAAATCAAAGGGCGAGCCCCTATTTTCTAAATTTCGATGTCGATTCATCACACTGGTTTCTACATCTTCACCGTCAACCGCTAGTCTCTTATTCCTTTCGATCCCCTTTTTCCTAACATCTAATTAGTTTTTTCTTAAAAACACATTTAACTCCCTAGATCTGAGTTTGAATATGTGGCTTTAACACAAAAAAAATCCCTTTTTCATTGATTCAATGGCCACTATTACGATCTATATCCTTCTCTCTTCTATAGCCTCCTTCTGCATCCAAAAATTAGGCTTCAAAACCATTACACATACCCAAAAACCGAAATCCACTATTTGATGTTTTTGCTTTTTTTTTTTACATTAAGGTTCCCTACCAAGGGATGTGTTATTATTATTTTTTTTTAGTGTTGACAATGATGGTTTTGGAAGGCTGAATAAGTGTGAATATAAGATTTTTTTTATGGGCTTTTTAATGGTTTTTGATTGTAGGTAAAATGGGTTAGGGGATGAGGATTTTTAGCTGGGTTAGTGGTCGAGGCATATAGGTTAGGGCTTGTTGAAGGTGCCAAATAGAATGGGAGATTATTGGAGGTGGTTGCGGATGTGTGTAGATGATGGCGTGTAGAATTTAGATGGTATTAGGTACTTGTTTAAGGGTTGTTTAAGTGATTTCTCTTAGCTCTAACAGTGGATTAATTGGAGGTTTTTGAGTGTTGATGATAGTGGGGCTGGGGTTGAACAATAGTTAAGGCATCTAGTTGCTTCACAATAAATAAGTTGGTAATTGGTGGCCTTCGAATAGGGAAGATACGTAGTGGATAGTTTATAAAAAGGTGGTAGTTTTGATGGTGGGGGGATTGGGTTGGCTTGGTATCCATCTAGGTTATCTTTTGTTTTTAGAGTTTTTTTTTTTTTATATTAAGATATAATTAAGCTTAAAAAATATATGTGTTAATGTTGACATAACTTTTTGATAGTCCACGTGGCCAGAATTAAAATACATGTAAGCATTAATAATGTT